AAACAAAAAACAAAAAAACCCCAAACAGAAAACTGACATTTGGGGAAAATACCATGATAGAAATGAAGACATGAAATATTAAAATCATTAGAACTCACAAAAAAGGCAGCAGCAGCGTTGTAAGGGAGAAGCTCCCGCTCAGCCACAGGGCCCTTAGAGTTTCAGCCAAGTTCTCATAGTGCCAGAGGCCAAAATAAATACCTCTTACATCCAATTCATTAAGATGATTACTGGTGTCCTATCGACTCAGTGTCTGTGGGGCATTATACAAATCCCAGACATGGAATCAGGCTAGATATCATAACCTCCATCTCCTGTTCCAAGGTGATTTTCAGAAATACTTGTTTAACAAAAAAATTTTTATTACTATATAATAAATGTACAAAACAACTTGCTTTTTGTCACAATTGCCCAAAACCCAGCTCTGCAAGAATATGACATCAAAAGGAATTTATGGGGGTGGTGCCTGTGGCTCAAGGAGTACGGTGCCAGCCCCATATACTGGAGGTGCAAGTTCAAACCTGGCCCCAGCCAAAAACTGCAACAACAACAAAAAACCGGGGAATTGTACAAACTCCATGAAACTGTGAACTACCTCAAACCAGTAGACTGCACCGGGTCTGACACAGTTGCTGTTTCTCTCAAAAATTAAAACATCCTGACTTGCTTGTACAACTGGCATGAAGCCTGGGGACCCATGTTTCAATACAAGCACCACTCCAAAGCCAAAACCATCTCCAAAAGAAAAGATACATAATGGTTTGGAATTGCTTTTAATTCCTTTATTACGTAAGTCGTTTCTTAGTGGTACAGACTCAAAGCCAGTCAGATGGGTATTATTTATAAGGCTAAAAGAGGGCAGTGCCTGTGGCTCAAAGGAGGAGGGCCCATATACTAGAGGTGGTGGGTTCAAACCCAGCGCTGGCCAAAAAACTGCAAAAATAAAAATTAAAAAATAAGGCTAAAAGAGAATGACTTAGAGATTTCAATTTCTAACAATAGCTACCACTAATTATAGAATCTTGTTATTCACCACAGCACTAACACCCTGAGAATTAGGAAACTGAGGCTTAGATATGGTATCTCTAACTTGTCAGAGTCAAAAGAAGTTCAGTTAGCAACTGAACTGGGCCTAATGCCAACATTTGGGACATTCCACCAAGCTGCCTCAATTTCTTAATTTACTAAATTAATCTCCACCCAACATAAGAGATTACTACAGAATCTCAACAATTTTGCACTATCAGATAAGAAAGACACTAGTTAATTTTTTTCTTTTTCTCCTGGGACAGAGTCTCAAGTTGTCGCCCTTGATAGAGTGCTGTAATGTCATAGCTCACAGCAACCTCCAACTCGGGCTCAAGCAATCTTCTTGTCTCAGTTTTTCTATTTTTAGTAGGGACAGGGTCTTGCCTTTTGCTCAGGCTGGTCTCCAACCTGTGAGCTCAAGCAATCCACCCTCCTCAGCCTCTCAGAGTGCTAGGATTCCAGTCGTGAGCCACTGCGCCCAGCCAGACACTAGCTAATTATTAAATGCAATGATACTCAAGCAGCAGGGTCATTCACCAGGAAAATCCATGAGCTATGCAGTCACTCAGAAACTAGCAAAGGAAAATCTGTTTACAATTTGCTAATCTTGGAACTCATAATACTCCCTGGAAGAGATTAACAATTAAAAAAAACCTTTTAAGTAAAAGATATTTAAATATTTATTTTTTAATTTTTTTGAGACAGGGCCTTGCTCTGTAACCCAGGCTAGAGTAGAGTAACATCATGGTAACTCACTGCAACCTCAAATACCTGGGCTCAAGCCATCCTCCCACCTCAGCCTCCTGAGTAGCGAGGAGGTTTGTGTCACCACCCCCAGCTAATTTTTCTTTCTTTTTCTTTTTTTTGTAGAGATGAGGGGAGTCTCACTCTTTTGTAGAGATGAGGGGTGCACATTCATGCTGGTCTTGAACTCCTGATCTCAGACAATCTTCCTGCCTCCACCTCCTGAAGTGCTAGGATTATAGGCGTGAGCCACCGCACCCGGCCAATATTCTGAGATTTTTCATTAATGCCAAAGAATAAAGTTGTGAGAAACATATTTATTCTTCAGTACTGTCCCTGTTTGCACTTTCATATTATATTAAATCTTAGTAACAGGAAAGATTTTATTTTGGATGGAACTACAGCTCAATTCTTTTACTTTAGAGACTGTAGGCCCATCCCAGGTGGCCCCACGTCTGCCCTGCATAACGACCACAGGCAGGGTCACTACTCAGGCACTTGGTCTAGGGAGAACAGCAGAACACTAACCGTCACTAACGCTGAGTGACTGTCAGGTTCTTGCGCAGCTAAGGCTGGTTTTGTGTAGGTAGAGCTTCCACACGTTGTGACTGGAGCCGCTGGTTAGTGAGCAGTGAGTCAGGCACAGAGTGTGGGAGGAAAGAGAGTGCCCTGGGGCAGCAGCCTGAAAGCGCATCAGTTAGGGTCCTCGCCCGGGGCCCTTCTTTTTTTCTCTACTTTATTTTTCTTTCTTTCCTTTTGAGACAGAGTCTTACTTTGTCAACCTCAGTAGAGTGCCAAACTTTTGAGCTTAAGTGATTCTCTTGCCTCAGCTTCCTGACTAGCTGGGACTACAAGCACCTGCCAAGGCACCCAGCTATTTTTTAGAGATAGGATCTCGCTCTTGCTCAGGCTGGTCTAAAACGTGAGCTCAGGCAATCTACCCACCTCGGCCTCCCAGAGTGCTAGGATTATAGGCATGAGCCACAGCGCCCAGCCTCCTGGGGCCCTTCTTAAAAGCAAATTTCTGACTTGGCAGGTCCCGGCTGGGACCCAGGATTCTGTATATTTCTAAGCTCTCCATTTGGTAACAATGTGTGATCAGAGGTAGGAACTGTCCCTGCTAGATGGGGCTAGCACAGGGAACAATTTGAACTTGTTTCCATTCCTAACTTACCACCCAACTGGACATGTCACCGTGAAGTGGAAAAGGACCAAAATGTTACTTAATTATGAGTCAACATAAAATAATGGCTGAATGTTTCAATTACAAACTAGAAAAATCCACCATTCCTGTGCTAAAATAAGAATTTTAATTTCCCTGAATACCCAATCCTTGGATTCCTCAGATTTCATTTCACTGTCTGCATAGGAAGGATAAATCAGATTGGGAGCAAAGTCCTGAGCATCCATACACAGTCCTGGGAACTTCAACCTTGAACTTGGAGAAACCGTAAAAGTCAGCTCCACCATTATCAACTCCACTTACCTTTGCAGTTTTATAACAGAGTCAAAACCAACAGTTTCCACAGGTTTGCTCCCGATTAAAACCACTTCCTCTTTTCTGTTTTCTTCTGGTCCATCTTCTAACGCATAGCGGTTCTTGACTGCGGTAAGAAAGTCTATTCCAAAATTTACCTTGTTGGGCCGAATAAAGGATCCGCCTGTTGGGTGGCTGGCAAAAGAGTAAAATGGAACACAGAAAATATCGCCCATTAATAAAGGTCATAAATGCAATGTTATAAACGGTTTCAAAAATTTCTACATACTGAAAAACCAAAATCACTATTAAAAAGACTTAATGTTTAAAGATAAATATATAACAATATGATCATAAAGGGTTTTGAGCTTATGCAAGCATGTAAAATCTGTATAGATAAACAGACAGGAGATACGGAATAGATATTTCACATTATAGAAAACAGAAGTATTAAATCCAAGGGGTAAAGATCTATCTTGTTAATGATTAAGAAATACAAATTTGGCTCAGCACCTGTAGCTCAAGTGGCTAGGGCACCAGCCACATACACCAGAGCTGGTGGGTTCAAATCCAGCCCCAGCCCGCCAAACAAAAATGGCAATTGCAACAAAAAATAGCCAGGCATTCTGACGGGCGCCTATAGTCCCAGCTACTTGGGAGGCTGAGGCAAGAGAATCGCTTAAGCCCAAGAGTTTGAGGTTGCTGTGAGGTGTGATGCCTCGGCACTCTACTCAGGGTGACAGCTTGAGACTCTTGTCTCAAAAAAAAAAAAAAAAAATTACAAATTCAAATAATGAAACTATTTTCAACAAAACTGGCAAAAAATATATAAAAAACATAAAACTCAAAGATTATAAGATTGGGTTTGTCTTGATTATATAATTATACTCTGTGTGGTATCCTGGAAGCTAATGAAAAAAGTGAATAACTGTGTCCAATCCTACAGCTAGATAAGGTAAGGTGATACCTAAGGCCTGGCCAATGAGTCTAGCAATATAAGAGTGACCCTTCCTAAAACTGGTCTGGGCCTGGCGTGGTGACTCACGCCTGTAATCCTAGCACTCTGAGAAGCCAAGGCTGGTGGATAGCTTGAGCTCACAAGTTCAAGACCAGCCTGAGCAAAAGTGAGACCCCCAGCTCTACTAAAAATAGAAAAACTGAGGCAAGAGGATCACTTGAGCCTGAGTTGGAGGTTGCTGTGAGCTATGACGTTACAGCACTCTAGCCAGGGTGACAGCTTGAGACACTGTCTTAAAAAAAAAAAAAAAGATTGGTCTGGATGGAACAGTGGGGCAAAGCCTGACGGGATGAGTCCCAGAGAGGGAGAGGACAGCAAGCACAGCCTACTCGCATCCCCAGGATTTTCACCAGAAGGGGAAGAAGAGAACAAGGATGAGGATACACGGGGTACACAGGTCAAAAGAGGAGATTTTTTTAAGATGGGGGAAAATATCTAACTTGTGTGCTTATGAAATCAATCCAATGGAGTGGGGGAAAATTGACAATGTGAGAAATTAAATTCTCTGTTGCAGCAAAATCCAGTTCTGAGATTCTACGTTCTGCTGTGATATCTCTGGAAAACTGACTACCATAAGCTGTTAAGAAAATATGATTATTTTAACCCTAGAAAACGCTCATATTGAAAAGAAAACAGTTCGGAGGCTGCATGTGGTGCTTGTAATCCTAGCACTATGGGGGGCTGAGGCAGGAGGATCCTTTGAGCTCAGGAATTTAAGACCAGTCTGAGCAAGAATGAAACCCTGTCTCTACTAAAAATAGAAAAATTAGCCAGGTGTTGTGGCGGGCACCTGTAGTCCTAGCTACTCAGGAAGATGAGGCAAGACATCATTTGAGCCCAAGAGTTTGAGGTCACTGTCAGCTACTATGACACCATGGCATTCTAGCCTGGGCTACAGAGTGAAACTCTGTCTGAAAAAAATTAATTATGGCTCAGCACCTATAGCTCAACCGGCTAAGGCGCCAGCCACATACACCTAAGGTGGCGGGTTCAAATCCCCAGCCCGGACCTGCCAAACAACAATGACGGCTGCAACCAAAAAATAGCTGGGCGTTGTGGTGGGCGCCTGTAGTCCCAGCTACTTGGGAGGCGGAGGCAGGAGACTTGCTTGAGCCCAGGAGTTGGAGGTTGCTGTGAGCTGTAATGCCACGGCACTCTACCCAGGGGGTCAGCTTGAGGCTCTGTCTCAAAAAAAAAAAAAAAAAAAATTAAAATAAATAATAAAAGAATGATCCAGAGGATTCTGAAGCAGGTGTGCCTTTGCCATGCTTGAAGAAAATCTGATCTAACTCAATTTCATTCTGTTAGGGATAGTGAACCAATGCAAAAGAGGTAAGTTTTTTGAAGATGAAATGAGTGAATTTTGCAGGAGAAAGAAATGTGAATTGTCATGACCAGAAAGTGAATTGTGACAGATTGTTTCCTCGCATAGATCCCAGCCTATAGGTTGCCTCTTAGGGAATGTGATTTTGCCTATGTTCCTATCAACAGCCTATTTCCCCCCAACCCCCCGAATTCAGACTCACCCAGTGACTTGTTTTTAACTAAGAAAGACTTCGCCTCAACAGATTTTGCAATTTCCATTTTCATCCTCTCAGAAGCCAAAGGAGAAAGCTTGAAGAGAAACTCAGGCCAGACTGTGATGAAAGCCCACAGGGAGAGAGAGAGACTGGCCTTATTGAGAAGAGACCCAAGGTCAAAAAAACAATACCCTGTCCTCAGTTGTGTAAGGTCATCTTGGATCCTCCAGCCAACAGACATGAAGCAGACAACTATCTCCACTGAGACCTGCTCAAATCCCTGAGACACAAGACCATAAGCCATGAAACAGTCATTTTAAGCCACTAAGTTTTAGGGTGGTTTGTCATGCAGCAATAGTTAACTGAAACAGATGAGGGAGGCTGGGCCCAGTGGCTCACACCTGTAATGCTAGCACTTTCAGAAGCTGAGATGGGAGGATCCCTTGAGCTCAGGAGCTCAAGGCCAACCTCAGCAAGAGTTTTCTAAAATAGAAAAACTAGCCAAGCATAGTGGCAGGCGCCCTTAGTCCCAGCTACTCGGAGGCTGAGGGAGGAGGATCACCTGAACCCAAGAGTTTGAAGTTGCTGTGAGCTATGGAGTCACAGTACTCTACCCAAGGCACAGAGTGAGACTGTCTCAAATACAAACAACACAGATGAGGGAAAGGTGGGTTGTTACTGTCACTAAGCCCTAATCAAAATCCCATATTTCTCTTAATTGTAAATTCAGGCACCAAACTAGAGCAGTATTCATGGTATTTTGTAACATCTGGAAATCACAGACGTGGCAGTGCCTGTGGCTCAGTGAGTAGGGCACCGGCCCCATATCCCGAGGGTGGTGGGTTCAAACCCAGCCCTGGCCAAACCGCAACAACAACAAAAAAAGCTGGGCATTGTGGTGGGCACCTGTAGTCCGAGCTACCGGGAGGCTGAGGAAAGAGAATCACCTAAGGCCAAGAGCTGGAGGTTACTGTGAGCTGTGATGCCATGGCACTCTACTGAGGGTGACAAAGTGAGAGACTGTCTCTAAAAAAAAAAGGAAATCACAGACATTTATATATCACATTATGCTTGTGATAAATATATTTTAAAAAATCACTTATTATTTTATGTCTGCCAAAAGGATCCATAGCACCAAAAAGAAAAAACCCTATTCTAGAGTATATTCTGCAATGGATTCGAATCTGAGATGGGCCATAAAGTAGGAATTTGGTACAAAAATGGTGGGACTTTCTACTCTAGGTATCAAATGGGATCCTACATGTGAATACCTATGACAATAAAAATAAATTACAAAAAGAAGAAATAGCACAGCAAGAGTACTAGTGAAAATAAAACACATATAGGGCCAGGTGAGGTGGCTCACGCCTGTAATCCCAGCACTCTGGGAACCCAAGGCACGTATTGCTTGAGCTCAGGAATTTGAGACTACCCTAAGCAAGACCAAGACCCTGTCTCTAAAAATAGCCTGGCATTGTGGTGGGTGCCTATACTCCCAGCTACTGAGGCAAGAGGATCGCTTGAGCTTAAGAGTTTGAGGTTGCTGTGAGCTACGATGACATTGCACTCTACTGAGGATGACAAAGTGAGAGTCTGTTTCAAAAAATAAAACATATATAAAAACTATAACACTGTCAATAAAATATTATGGTTTAAACAGAGGTGATTTTTTTTAAAGGAAACTTGTAATTATCTCCATTAATTTTCTATTGTGACATAAAAATAGATCTTATTTACTGACAATCAAATGTTATTAATGCTAAATATTTTACATTTAAGATGGTAAAATAAATCCCAAGACAATTTAGAATGTACTTTATATAATCTACACAAATGTGTACAAACAATTCAGTTTTGTAGCAAATAAACTCTATACTCTTTTTAGAATCTCGTATTTTTTTTTTAACATAGCCTTCATGTAACTTTCTTAGTTATTATGTCAAAACATTCATATTCTACTCATAGAAAGATTCACTTGTACCCTTGCAAGATGAACCACAGAAGTGAACCCTTGAATCCCTCTCCCTCCCCCCTCTCTCCCCTCCCTCCCCCCTCCCCATATCCTTAGGTTGTTTTTTGGTTTTTGCTTTCATATAAAAAGGTTTAAATTAGTTTCATAATAGGTGTGTGTACATTGGATACTTTTTCTTCCATTCCTGTGATACTTTGCTAAGAAGAACATTTTTTTAGAATCTCGTATTAATGAAATAGGTTTTAATTTATGAAATAGTAAGATCTGAAATTATAGTGAAATTAAAATTTCTAAGTGAAATGTAAATACGAAATAGCATTGGTTTTACTTAGTGGAGTAACATGAAGGGTAGAAGTAGAAACAGGAAATTTTCAAACACGTGATTTAAATGAAAAAATAAGTATGAGAGCTCAACAGGTACATTTATTTAATTTTTTTCCCTTTCCCAATCTCTGGCTGTGGGTCTCTGCTGGGCCCAGCTGTTGCTTTGGTGCCCAGATGCTTCAAAGCATTATTTAAAATGTGTGGGTCCCCATGAAACCTTACTATACAGAAGTTTACCAGGAGATCTGGATTGGAAGGGGGTTGATGAGCTTCATTGTTTATAAAATCAGGAGTGCTGATAAAAGTAGTAAAGCTTTGGAAGCCCCTGCACCTGCTCATGGTCATCACTAACCAGCCTCAC